ACTGCAATCTGAATAATCACTGCTATCAAACTCCATATCACTTTCATCTGGTACATATTCACTACCACTGTCACTCATCACTTGACATTTTTTATATCATTTTACTCAAACAATTCATAAATGTATGCAAAATGAGACGTATTTATAGCTAGTTAGCATTCAATCAACACCTGCATGCAACTGACACCACCCCATTATTACTTCAATCAATTATGCATCACTTACTTTGTGAAAGTTTCTGATTGGTCAATAAAAATGACGTCATTTAGATTGAAGAGCATTAAGAGACATTTAATTATGCTCTGATAAGTATAATGGAATATTTTCCTTCTTAAACATAAACTTAAGGATGATGACTTCAACAGTGATATCACCGCATGGATAATGAAGATTTCCCATGATGCCAACATTGGAGTTATTGTATGGAAGAGCTTAAGGCTTAGATGCCATTTTCAATCACCCAGATATGGTTGTTTTTAACTTTGACACTTGGAAGGAGCCAAGTATTACCAGATAGTCCATTACCCGGTTGGGGCCAAATATCTGGCTGGGTACCCGTGCATCCCTAGTTTTCATTATTAGCTTAATATATGTATTTAAGACTAACCTAAATCTCCTAAACTGGCTGAATTTCGAGATATTACTGGCTTTACTGTTGAATATATCATTAACAGTGAGGGTAGCTAACTGATGAACAATGCATTCTAATCTTTATAAGTAAGAATGTAAGAAAAGCTATATTATTATCAGGTTGACTTCTAGTTTCAATTTAAGTATGTAGCTTGTTCTGATCAGAAGCTAATATTAATTTAAATCAGCAGAACTGACAGCATTTACAATCTGTTATCTCTCTTGACCGTGTTGTTGATTGTTTGGTCTATTTCTTAGTGTGTGGACTCCTATGCAGATGCAGGGAAAGGACACCTATGCAACAAATGACCAAGCTCTCCAAAGTTGTAACATGTACCTATTCTTTCTCACTCCATCTGTAGATCATGGGTTTTAATCATCCACATCATATGGATGCAAGTTGTTTCTGTTCTGGCAATTTAATTGAAGTTACCAAATCAAACCTTGTTGCCACCAGCACAGTTTCAGTCAGAAACATATTTCTGACCACCAAGTTGTAGCACATTGACTCAGTAAGGAGGCCTTACACAAATTTTCTGACCAGATCTTCTCATCAGCTGCCTCCATTCTGGGGTTTGCTTTGCAGCATAATCATCACACATTATTTGTGTAAGCAGCTACGTTTTTGTGGGCAACAGGTTAATAAGCATTGAATTCTGTCCAAAAGATTAATCTGTTCTCTACTAGATCAAAATGTTGATGCTACTCTGTAGTAATGACTTCCCAGAGTTGGTCAGGTTTTACTCCATGGTATCTAGAGCCAGACCATCTAAACTAAGCAGCAGACACTGCATCATTTGACTCTGGGCCCAGGACTTCCAAGTGGCTTTCTGGCAAAACCATTTTAGGAAGTGATATACCTCTACCTTATCTCACAACCCTTGAAGAATACAGTGAAATATGTTTTACTTCAGTACTTTCTTCTAGTTGCAACAAGGACAACCTTCCTTCATGAACAATTATGAAGGAAGTCAGGAGTATTGTAGGTGGGAGAAAAAGACAAGACACTGTGTGAAGTTGAATGAAAGTGAATACTTTATTTACTGAAGAAGGGTGAATTAAGAACAGGTTGATGGTCTCAGTAGAAAGCAAGCTTATGTTGGACTGAATTAAAATATAAACAAACTTGAAATCAAGATAAAACACACATAGTTAGCAAGTGCATAGATCACTTGAGAAAGAATGGTTACAATACTTCACAGCAAGCCCTGTATATTTCAAGATAGATGCAAATATATTTGAAAAGTGCCAAAACTGCATTTGGAGTTCACTTTCTCTCAGTAGAGAAAATTGGTTCACACAAATTTGGAAATGCCTTTTCTTTATGTGTCACAATGCAATCCTACATACACAAGGTAAAGTAGAACACCATACAACTCTACATGAAACAACAGATAGTTTCTCTGAATGAATCTGCTATTGAAAGTAACACCTAGGATTGAACTAGCAGATGATTGAATTTAATGTGTTCCAAACCATATTGGGTCAGTAGATTATTCTTTACTAGAACAAAACACATACAGAAATCTACTGTAATGGCTTCCCAGAGTTGGTCATGTTTTATGCTATGTATCTAGAGCCAGACCATCTAAAATAAGCAGCAAGCACACATTTAACTTTGGGTCTAGAACTTCCAAGTCATTCATACAGTAAATCCAATGGTTCATGATTCATTTCATATTTCCATAAAAGCATATTTCATACCTGGGAGTTGTGGGTGTGCTTTAGGAACCATGGTAAAATCTAACTAATTGGTAAGACAACAGTAATCCACAGATTTGGTAGTATGTGCCAATGGCAAGCTGTATTCCCTCTGTTCAATATGCAGATAGCTTTTTGTGTAGATGTTTGTAAAAATTCTAAAATAAATCCAATTATAACTTTAAACAAAACTTAAGATTTTTGTAAGTATGAAATATGTACAGAAGATGAATAAGACTATTTACACACCACATGATGAACAATGTCAGTAAACAATACATTCATACTCTACTTCTTTTAATGGATATCCTATAGATGTCTAGTCTTCTCAAAAGCTACCACTGGCAGTTTTTTGACAGTCAAGCAGAAATCTGTTGTAGCAAAAAAAGTTTCATTTCAAGAAAAATATCTCAATGAATTGTACTTCTGCATACAGCTCAAAATATATGCTTGCTCTGAATTTAGACAGAGTTGATGTTAAGCAGTCAAAAAGTTTTAATGTTAATTTAGTATTTGACTTATCAATTTGTTTTTACTGCCATTACTTACCTTGGTCCAAAAAGAGTAATATCGGTGTCACTTTTTCCAATTGTATTTTTTCCTAGCTTTATAATGTGGGTAATCTTTCCAGAGAGTAGTGGGTCAAAGTTCAAATTAGCCAAATGTGGGTGTTTCTTTTTTTCTTCTTCAATCTTTGCTTTATTGTCATCCTAAAAAATAAAACCATGAATTCAGCTAAATGACCACTGCATATCACTAAAATTCATTATATTGTACTTCTTACAAAGAATTCATTATCATAAAAAAAAACATTAAAAAGCTTTTAAAAAAAAGTTATTACACATTGAATAGAGAAAAGACAAACATAAATTACGGAAATATTTTGTGAGGTACTATGAATACACAATACCCAACTGAATATTTCAATAAATAAAAAAGAATTATATATGAAACCTTTTTTTCAGATTTTAATAACAATAATCATACAATGTTTTGGATGTACAAACAACTATAAAATATGCTACATAAGTTTATTTAAAATAGCACAGAAGCTTTTAACAACTTACAACTTTTTGTTGTTGCTGTGCTTGTTTCATCTTTTCTTCATAAGATTGTTTCATTTGCATCAACTCACGATTATTTTCTGCCAATCGAGCTTTCATCTCTTCCTCCCGCTTGATCCAATAAAGTGCAATCTCTGTTAGAATAATTTATCTTATGAAATAACTTTTAGATTGAAAATGACATATACAAGTAATTATTTTGAAAATAATAATAATATATTGAAAATCCAGCTTACATTACTAGATTTCTCAAAGCACTTGTCCGGTGTCTATGTGTGCATGCGCATGTATGTGTGCAAGATACAAAGGAATCCCTAATTAAACAAATCTTACTAAACCAGTTGTATATAATATAACACGATTTCTTCTTCACCTTAACAAGTTGTTCCTGGATAAACATTATTCATTGCTAAGTCTTACCTATCTTCAGACTAAC